AAAAATGAGTATTTTAAAATGATTTACTTTTTGACTGTAAATAAAATTGTAAGGAGTAAAAAGTACTTTTTTTTTCTTTAAAAATGTAATTAAGTAAAAGTATTCATTTTTAATTGTACTCAAGTAAAGTAAAAATCCCCAAAAATAATACTGAAGTACAGTAATCAAGTAAAATTACTCAAGTACTTTACACCTCTGCCTTCTTGCCCAGGAAACAAGAAAGGAAAATTTAATCGCTGCTTTGTAATAATCGAGTAATCGAGTTTAATCGAGTAAATATATAAACTGAGACAGACGCAGGCCTATATTACTGACGTATAACTACAGGTCACTTATTTACTGAGACCCACACCACACATTACATCCAATACACACTCAAATTAACACCCGCGTACGGAATATAAACCGACTAAACGTAGATATCATTTGCTTCTATATATTACATTTTAAAAACTCGGATATAGGCCTAATTCAGGGTTTTATTCGTGAAGTGTGATCAGTTTGCTTTCTTATATTTGTAGGTAATTTTTTTCCCGTTATTGTTGATCTATGCATTCTGAAGTACGCAACTACTGAAAGGGTTTCTGCAATACACAGAACATTTTTCATGTAAGTGTACCTGCTGGGGCTCCAAATGGAGAATGTGTGCAGTCATAGCCCTATCGTAAGTCTGGCTCTGTAGCTTCAAAGCAGGGCTGCTGTTCTGATGAGTTGAGCTACCTATCGAGACGTACTATTGAGCCTTTTTGCGCATGTGCAGTTCCACCGTTTGGGGGTTAGGGTTAGGTTTTAGGGGTTTGGGTTGGGGTTAGGGTAAGAGTTTTGGGGGTTTAGGGTTAGGGTTAGGGTAAGAGTTAGGGTTAGGGCTATCGATTAGCACCACGGTAGCCTAACTCGACAAAGCAGCTCAACTCGACAGAACACCAGCTCTGAATACGCGGGGATGATTAGTAACGTGATCAGTTTGTCATGTACCGCTCCAGATGTGAAGGCCATCTATCCATAGTCTTGCGTAATAAAATACAATAGTTGCATTTCTGCATTTCTGTTTCCACACTCATTGCTGATTCTTTAGTTTCTATTTTAACCCAATAAAAGAGAGTTCTCATTTCAGGTTATTTGCACATTTCTGATCTGTTCCTGTCTTAACAGAGGCTGCAGGATTAGGGCGTGGCTGTGTGCCTGAGTTGTCCCAGCAGCACCCCCTATAGGAATTCCCCAGCATGTGCAGCCGATTACTATGGGTGCTGTGTGTGCTCCTTCAGGTCCTGGGGCATGTCTGCCTAATCGGTAAGCCCAGAGTCTCAGTCTGTCCATGGTTTACATTAAGCCTGCCATGTAGAACATCAAGCCTGTAGATGATCCAACAATAAGAGTGATTAAGAGTACGGTGATGTGATATGGTGGGCGGAGCCTAAGGTGTCCCTGTATCTACAGGGCAGGAGTTGCCTGTTCCATATGAGCTCAAGGTGAATGCAGCTGGATGGTCCTTGTCTCTCACCTGGAAGAGTCATTTATATAGCAAGACACTACTCTACGAGGTTCAGGTCCTTCAAGAAGACAACAGTGTGCCTGTACATCACGTGAGTTTAAGTGTCTGCACTGGTGGCCAAACGATGTGTTGATATTGATGTTTGATTGATGATTGATTGATATTTATACACTGAGAAACAAAGGAGATCTTCTGTGTGGTGTTTGCAGGAGGTCCTAAGAAACACTGTGAACCAGGATGCCATGAGCCAGACCTTCACGGTCCACCATTGGGAATGGATCTCCTACTTACCCCTGAACTGCATCTCACACAGCGTCAGAATCCGCTCACAATTTGAGAGCCAGACCAGCCAGTGGAGAGCCATTACTGGTCAGCAACTCTACACTCATACACGCAGAGTGCCCAGTGGTGGTACTCACAGCCCCCAGGGGAAACAGGGCTTTGAAATGCATAGCGGATGGACTTAACGTGCTGTCAGTTGCTGTCTCTTTTAACCTATGTGTCATCAGGTAACGATTCCCATAGCAATCCCACTTTCTGCCTCTCTTTTCTTGGTCCAGTGACAGACACTCCTGAAGAAAGGAATGTGTACCCTACGGACTCAGTGGTGCTGGTCGGCAGCCAGGTGTCGTTCTGCTGTGTCGTGCAGAAAGAAGATTTAATCAGCTTTAATTTTGAGCACTTGAAGAATGAGACGTGGATCAGAAAAAACGTTGCAGTCATCGATGTGCAATATCTGAACGCGACCCGTAGGTCAGGAAATAACATCCACTGCAAAACAAGCCAGGGTACTATTGGAAGCACAGTTTTTGTGGGCTGTGAGTATATGCTTCCCAAGTCCACCCACCATCCACAGTCCGCTTCTCACGCCACCTTGACCTGTATGATGGCACTCACAAAGACCTCTTTATCTCCAGACCCCCCTGATGACCACGACTTGCAGTGTCAGACAGACCTGCAGTCTGTGACATGTTTCTGGAATATAGGCCGGATTACCGATCTGTTTGGACTTCGGAAAACCATCTATACCTTAAATGGCAGGTAGCTGAACCGCCCCCCCCCCCCTCAGCCGGGCAGCTGTCAGCTTGCGTGTGACTCACTGTCCTCCTTTACCTCACTGCTCTGTCCAGTAAATGCACAAAATCAAACCAGTGTAATTTACGTGGGCACCCACCTTCTGGAGAGTCAACGTGGACCCTGGTTGCTGAAAACCCATTGGGGAGGGTGGTGCTGAACCAGACGGTGGACCTGAGTCACAGAGGTCAGTACTGGCCTCCATTCGCTGCCGGGTCACCGGCAGAGCATATCCACACTAGGGGTGTAACGGTACCGTTTTCCCTCGGTTTGGTATGTGTCACAGTTTTTGGACCAAGGTAACAGTACAGCTTCAATATCTTTATATTTAAGAAGAAAAAAACACATCTCCCTTTAATTAAGCGACAAACTCTTTTATTTTTCCAGTTAACAACTCTGCATTCCAAAAAATGGTAGCATGACTAACTAGGCATATTTTACGTCTCTTCTGTATGAAATCAAGAAGAGAAAAACATTAAAATTAAAAATGCTTCTTAACTTTAAGTGTTTTGTCGGTACTAATTTAACAGTATACAGAACCTGTACATGCAATAATTAATTAATTTTCGGAAGGAGACTTTTGGAATACCAAATCTTATCTATATAAAGAAAATAATTTTATTTGACAAAAACATATATGAAGGTAAGCATATCACTGTTAAAAAGCAGCCACAGGCAATGGGAGGACAGTAAGTGTAGATAGATAATCAATATTACAAACTTTACACCCAAGAGAGCGCAGAATGCTTATGGTGCAGCAGGCATAAATAAATACACAAATACCCATATTAATTTACACCATTTAAAGGTAAGTGCAGTGCAGTACAAAGCATGCCAGTTTCTAACCATCCCCACGGCATCACATTACGTCAGCCAGCTGACAGTAGGTGGGATTATGTCAGCCAGTTGTCGACAGCGGATGGGATTACGTCAGCCAGTTGTCGACAGTGGGTGGGATTACGTCAGCCAATTGTCGGCAGTGGGTGGGATTACGTCAGCCAATTGTCGACAGTGGGTGGGATTACGTCAACCAATTGTTGACAGTGGGTGGGATTACGTCAGCCAATTGTCGACAACGGGTGGGATCACCAATCATACAGTGTCGTATGGCTGGAACACCATCCTTTACATTTGAAGTACACGGCTACCTTTTCCCAGGAGGCGGATAGTTTGTACCATCTGCTGTTGTATAATGACATTTAAATTCTAGCCTTAGAAAATAAAATGACCCCAGTTTTGTAGATGTACTTTTTGAGAAAAAACACCACCTTATATTCCTGCCAATACGTGTAGGAAAGTAACAGGCATATTGTAATACCGCGGTTCACGTGTGAGTATTGAACCATCACTGGTGTACCAAACGGTTTGATAAAATGCCGTGTACCGTTATACCCCTAGTTCACACTCACCTCCTGTGTTCACCATTCCTGTTTCTCCTCCTGATGTCACATTCCTGCCTTTCCCTTTTCCCCCCATCTCTCCGCAGTGGTACTCCAAGCTCCCCAGCAGCTGAAAATACTGGAACGGACTTCTAGGAATGCCAGGGTCTCGTGGAACTGGAACATGTCGGTGGACGTCGACTTTGGGGTGCAGTGCGAAGTGCACCTAAACTGCATCAAGGATGACAGAGGGGTGGGTGCACGGAACAGCACTCTATACTGCTGTCAGAAACTGCAGGGTAGAGCACTGCCTGGTAGAAACCAATAGAAGCCTGTTAATCCTGCAAATGACAGCTTTTATGAGTCACGACTTATTCTCGTCTCTCTGTTTCTAAGGATCGTCCACTGCCCACTTCTCCTCCACCACGGAGGTACTCAGGAGTGGGCCTGAGCAGGCTGCTGCTGGAGGACCTGCTGCCTGATACCATGTACGAGCTCAAGATGCACTGTGGGAAGCTGGAGAACTTCTGGAATTGGAGCTCCTGTAGCTCAACCAGCTTCCGCACCACTGAGTACTGTGAGTGTAGCTTCTCTGTCGCCCTCCATTGAAACACTCTCTGACCTGTTGGCCAGTGTTAGGTGTTTTTGTTTATGGTGCCACAGGGTGGCAGCATTTAGTCATAAACCAATGCATGCTCTGTTCTGCTGTGGCATAATTATCACGCAAGTATGCTGATATTTATGTCTGATCTAACTGCAGACCCGGATACCCCAGACCTATGGGTTCAAAGAGACAGTAACAATACTCTCTATGTCATGTGGAAGGTAAGACCAGCAACAGATTAATCAGCAGTTAAAGACCAGTTAAACGATTGGTCCTTTCCTTTAGCTGTGTTCATGTAGTGACAACACTGAGCTGTTATTCCTTGAAAAAGCATGAGAAGGTATTCCCAGGCCACAGACAGAAGTACAGAAAGTGACAGAGAAACATCAACAAGTCACTCCTATCACTGAGATAGGAGATACAGCACACTGGGTTAGCCAGCGGCAATACAGTTTGGGTTAGCCTGTGGCTACACAGTTTGGGTTAGCCAGTGGCATCCTCTGCCCAATGACTCCATACAGTCTCAGCAGCTTTGTCTTACATTGCTGTTTCACTGACCGTCAGCCCCTCTCCTGGAGTAACGGGTGGCTTACAGAATATAAGGTGACCTGGAAGAACCTCACAGATGGAATGGAGCAAACAAGGAAGGTGGAACCATCCTATCATACCACTGACATCAACTTAGGGGAGCACAGCCCCCATCACACTGTAATGGTCACAGTCACTGCCTCCAACTCTGTGGGCTCCTCGTCTCCTGCTGTCATCATTGTCCCTGGGGGCCTGGGAGGTAAGATGGGTTGGGGGGGCATAGAGTCGGAAGCCTGATACTGTGGTAAGAGACTTGTGTCAGGCAGAAAGTAGACACATGGTCTGTCTTCTGTTTGCAGACCACATGCTTGCCATCTCCCGGGTGACCGGCACTGATGGTGGGTTCGAGTTGTACTGGTCCCCACACAATGGCACCACCTGTGGGTATGTGGTGGAATGGCACCCAGCTGACATCAAGAAAGATGTGGAGTGGCTGAAGGTGCCCGCAGGTCAAACCCACGCCCGCATCGAATCAGGTGAGGGCCTCAGTCTCTGCAAGATCCAGTCAGGAAAACGTGGCTCAAAGCAACATTGTTATGGTTTATTTCTGTGTGCCCCCCATGGTCTGAGTGATTTTGACTGCATATGTAAATGTATAACATGGCTAACATATAAAGAAGCCTGCGTTTGCAGATCCCCTTTCCTGAAGAGGGTGCCATTGACAGGTTTGTGTTTCTGCTTGGCTGGGTGACTCCTTTCCTCCAGCCAGCTTTGTTGCAGGGAAGAAGTACAATCTCACCATCTACAACTGCCAAGCCAGCTTAGAGCTGCTGGAGAGGAAGGAAGGATACATACAGGAGCTAGGTGAGCACCAGGAGCAGGCTTCTCTCAGTCTGGGCTCCGCCTCTCTCTGCCAGGGCTCCGCCTTTCTCGACCTGGGTTCCGCCTCTCATAGTCTGGGCTCCACCTCTCTCGGCTTGAGCTCGATCACCATCTGAATTCCTCTGTCCTCTGTGCCTGTCCTGACCAGTTCCAGCCGCACCTGTTCAGGATCTGACCGTCACGACAAAGAGGACTGACACTGTGCTGTCTTGGGGCAGGATTCCCCCGCAGAGCCACAGGGGGTTCATCCGCGGCTACATCATCAGATGTGACTCACCTGATGTAAAAGAAGGTAACTGATGCCCCGGCTCCCTGACAACATGCAGGACGTGGCACATTCGTAGACTGTAGATACAGTTTGTGGACATTACGGCACATCATAACACTTGGCACCACCAAGGGCAAAGGGTATAGTAAATTGCAGTCAAGGGTATAGCAGCTACACAGGATTTGGATGTTCTTTCTCACATGATCATGTGATTAGTGTTGGTTATATAATCTCTTTCCCTTTTACCATTTTACCAGTGAATATCACTGATCCTGATGCCCTGGAATACAGGTTTCTTGGGCTCCTCCCAAATACCTATAAGTTCACAGTGACGGCCTACACACAGATTGGTGAAGGTGCACCGAAGGAGGTCTCCATAAACATTCCTATAGACGGTGAGCTCCCAGTATCTCTCTTTTCGTGTCTCACCCATATCCACATTTTTTACTTATGCACATTTTCTGTGTTTTATAAAATCACTCATAACTCCTTTTCTCATCAACATTAATTAAAAAAAAATAAAACTTTTAGCGAATTACTTTTGTCACATTAGCATATACATACTAATTTTCCTTTATTAGTTGAAATGCCAACACCTACCTTTCTAAAAAAAAAAAGTGATGTGTTAGTTGATTTGGACAGACGTGCATCTTGGAACACCTGGGCTGTGTGGTTTGTGTGGGTGGTGCTCGAGATGGACAGGAGAGGTTGTCCTAATACACGGTGTGCCCTCCCACAGCACACAAGGTCTTGATGATGATCTTCATCACCATCGCGTTCATCAGCTTCTTCCTGATCATCGTCACGATCGTCTGCTACAGATACAGGAGATGGTACGTTTTGGCTTTCGGTGGCCACAATGGCATAATTCACTACGGCATCTGTGAAGCACATTTTTCGTTTTCACGCTGGTTCTCCACCAACAGGCTCAAATTTATGTTCCACTCTGAGGTGCCAAAGCCGAAGATCACCAGCGAATGGACAACAGAGAAGGTCAGCTCTCTGTGCCCCATTTTTGACCTTGTACATCTGATATTCTGTCTGTCTATGGATGGGTTATTCAGTACTTCTACTCTAGAAATTTAATCTGTACAGGCATGTCTATAACCTTCTCAAGCATCATTGTCTTGTCTCATTCTTAGGGGGCATTACTGATGGTTACAAAGCCCTGTATCCATGACCAGCTACACATTGTGGAGAAACAGGACAAGACAGCAAAGCTGAAGCTGAACAGAGAAATGAGCTTCCCTGAAGAGGGACAGTATGCCCCCCTGCAGTTCCTGGAGTCTTACATGCTGGGGCTGAGTGACCAGCTCAGAGCACGGTCCACTCACAGCCCTGAGTCCCTCCCCTCAAGCCTCGCACAGTCTTCCAAAAGCCCTGGGTCCAATGAGGTCACCTACACCAAAATACAAAATTTTCTTGAAGTGTCACCCTACAGGCCTGAGCCCCAGATGAAGGCCCCTTACTTGGAGATTTTGCCTACTTTGCCCAAAACCATGGACAGCTACTTGCCCCAGCGCGCCAGTCAGGAAGACAGACCCCCCGCAGAGGACCACCTCACCAGGCCTGTTTGCACCAGCTCATCCCCATCCAGCCACCCCAATCTGTCATCTCACTCAGCACCCTCCCCCTGCTGTGCCATTAGCAACCCCACCTACTGCCCTACATTAACAACCCTGAAAACTGAAAAGATGATTAAGATGACTGACCGCATCGACAGTATGAGTGTGTGAGAGTGTGGAGGGATGGCCTTGGCTGAGATAGAGGGACCTATACCATATAAATGGACACTTGGCAAGGAGCAGATCTTGGGGTGTCAAATTTGGTACCCTTGATAATTTCAATGAAAATTTCTATGAATTCTGTTCATTTCACCTTTTAATAAATAAACTACTATTTTGTCTGTATATATAACATTGTGTTTTTTACGCACATTTTCTGTCTGCCATCCAGTAAACAGTTACATGAAGGAGCCTCTGACACGTGCAAGTGTGCAGAGTGCTCCGGTGTTGAGCTACTTTGTCGAGTGTTCTGTCGAGTTGAGCTACTTTATCAAGTTAGGCTACCGTAGTGCTAATCGATAGCTCTAACCCTAACTCTTACCCTAACCCTAACCCCCCAAAAAACCCTAAAACCTAACCCTAATCCCAAAACGGTGGAACTGCACGTGCGCAGAAAGGCCCGATAGCACGTCTCGATAGGTAGCTCAACTCGTCAGAACACCGGCCCTGCGTCTCCACATGAAAATTCTGTTTGTCGTGCCAGTGCACCCTCGAAACGGCGTTTTTGGTTAATTAAATGGGATAATCAATGTGCACTATCAAACTTTATTAAAGGTGCTGTATACTGTGAATTTTAAAGACAAAACAAAATAAAGCAGAATTTTCCATCAGAGGTGTACATGTCTTGGTGTAAGATTAAACGAAGTGCCGCGAGGTAGTCCGGGCGCGTGCCTCAGTTGCCACGGCAGCACTTCCGTAAACAAACGCAGGCTGCTTAGTGATCGGCACTCTCCCGCTGCTCGCCCCGTCTTGCGTTTTTTTTTTTCTTTCATGGGAGAAAAGGTAAAATCCGAGTAAAAGTGAAAGCGGTAAGCGAGGATGCCGATCGGACAGAATGGGAGACTGGCCTGCCGGGAGATCACCGGACCGACGCCGCATTCTGTGGCTCTGGTGAGCATTCACGTTAGGCACGACTGGCGCCTCCGGTTCACAGTAAGATCTGCAATAACGAAAATATAAGAAAGTAAATACCCGTGATGAAATGAAACTGATGAAATATAAATTCACCGTCTAGTGTGTACCCGTGTTTAAACGGATTAAACTAACATCAATTCGACTCCCCAGCGGGCAAGACTCCCGTCCACAATACCGCCCGACTTCCTCATCCTGGACCGGCGGCGGCAAGAGACGGCCCTTGGTGAGGTGTCGGACTTCACCCGTTACCAAAAGGCCTGCGAGGTCCGGAACCAGTGGGAGATCAGCACCGAGCGCCGCATGGTGCACCGAACCACTGAGAGGCGGGTTCAAGATGCAGTGAGGGAGCGCATGGTCTGCCTGGAGGACCGCAGGGACAGGTGTTAATGATAAAAAATGAAATGATCGAGATAACGCTGAAATACAGTAGAATCCAGTAGATTATATTTTACATACACACAAACATACAAGTTGGTCTTCCTATTTAAATGGGGACCGTCCATTCATTTCTATGGGAAAAACCATAATCCCAATCACGACACCCTTATAACCTCTATACCCATCCGTAACCTTAACCATAAGTAACCAACCCAAATACAAGACTTTTGCCATTTTTACTTTTTTGATTGCGTTCACATATTTTTTTTTTTTATAAAACTGAGGTTATCCAAATGGGGACCTCAAAAGATGGACCCAAAAGTAGGGAAATGTCAGGTTTTACTACACTTTGGGGACAATTTGGTGGCAATTTGAATGGCAGGTTCAGCTTCAAAACTCTGTCAGGTGGGTCCATCGAGAAGACCAAAGGTAGGCTATATATTTGCAGTACCAGGCTGCGGTTCTTCTCAGAACGATAGACGCATTAGCATTTTCATGTCTGAACATATTATGATAATATTTTCGTAAATATAAATAATGTATTTATAGGTTAATATTAACATTCTTCATTTTTGCCCCTCGGGGACAAATAAAGTTTTTAAATTGAATTTAGGTATTTCAATAGCTATATGTGAATGGCGGTCTGTCGCGCGCTTTTGTGATGTCTTAACTGCACAATTTAATCTTCCTTAAAGTCATTCTCTATGGGAGTATGTCTCCGGTCAAATGGTATGCTTTCCGAAGTTTTCTTCAGTGTCCGAGATTGGATGTATAGGCTTATTAAGTTTATTGGGATTCTTAATTCTTTCATATACTTTCCGTAGTAAATCGTCACCCCGCCTTCCTAGATCTTCGTAAGATTATTACATTTTCTCCGATTTACATATTATAGCCAGCTGAGTTCGGAGTGGTGAGGACATTTTGCACCACTCGGTCAGCATAGTTACAAGTAGTGAAGTGGAGAGTGAAGGGCAGACAACTGCAGAGCCAAACGAACTTGGGTGAGGGTGAAGACTATCGCTACAGAACTGAACAATATTGTGACATTAGTCATCTTTGCGCTGTTACGCGTCCGAGTGATTTAAAACTGAGATCCCCCCAATTGTTTTTCTTTATTTTTTTGTAAGTACTTGAAGTTTTGTTTTTGTGTTAAATGCATATATACCTATATCGCATTAAAAATATCTCAAAATCTTTTCTCTATCCAATAGAGTAAATCTTTGGTCAGACATTTAGGATAAAATAGCTTTTTGCTTTTAAAAAAGTGGGTTTCGTTACCACTTTCTCCCTGGCACCCAGATTGCGGTCACTGCTGGAGACTGAGGAGAAGGAGCTCCTGTCTGAAATGGAGGTGCAGGAGGAGACGGCGCTGGAGAGGCAGGCTAAAATGCGTGAGAGGGCGAGGCTGCTGAAGGAGAGACGGGAGGGCGAGAGGGAGAAGGAGGTCCTACTCAGATTGGAGCAGCTGTTCAGGTGATGGATCACACAGAACCGTGGGGTGTCCACAGTCAGGAGACAGTGACTGACTGGATACCTCACAACCACCTGCACTGCAGGGAGCAGAGCGAAGAGCTGCGGACTGCACAGGCACGCCAGCTTCAGCACGAGGTATGTGCAGAGCGTGCAGCTCAGCTGCGCAGTCGGGAGGAGGAGCGCCTGCAGCGCCTGGAGGAGGAGCGGTTCTTCGCCCAGCTGTGGGAGGCTGACCGGCAGGCGAAGGAGAACCGGGCAGAGCTAGAAGGTCAGCAGCAACGCAGCAGCGCCCGGCAGCAGCGGGACATCCTGTGCGCCCAAATGGAGGCTGCTGAGCAGCGGAGGGTCCAGTCCCGGCAGCTAAAAGAGGAGCAGGCCCAGCTGCTGGTAAGGGGGGGGGGACGGCGCCGTGGAGGCTGCAGCATCAAGCACTGTGGTGTGATCCCATGTGTCTGTCTCACACAGCGGGAGCAGCAGCAGCTGCAGCTCCTGGAGGAGCAGCGGGAGCGCGGCCGCAGATGGCAGGAGCAACAGCGCGTGCGTGGGGAGCTGGACCGTGCGCTGAGGCTGAAGATGAGGCGACTGGCACGGGAGGAGCAGGAGGAGCTGGCCCTGGACATGCGCATCCTAGAGGAGTTGCTGCAGGAGCGCAATGACGAAGGCCACGAGCAGGAGCGCAGGAAGGTGAGGAGAGAGAAGGGGATGAGTTGGATGGGGAGCGGGAGCCTACCTCACCCTACCCCCCACCCTCCGCAAGCAGCAGGAGCTGCAGCAGGAGCAGCATAGCTACCGTCAGTACCTGGCTGAGCGGGCAGAGGAACAGAGGCACCTGGAGGCAGAGACGGAGCAGCTAATGGAGGAGGAGCTGGAGCGTGCCTGGCAGCGCAGGATGGAGCAATACCGTGCGGGGCAGGAGGCACGGAACCGCCTCATGAAGGAGGTGATGGACACTCGGCACCAGCAGATCCAGGAGAAACGTAAGCTGGGGAGAGGCAGGTTAGCAGATTGGACGGGGCTCTGTCATAGGTTTGTGTGTGACGTGCCGACTCCCTTAGTCCAGGAGAACATGGAGAAACAGGCTCAGCTGGAGCAGGAGAGGGAAGACCTGAACAGAAACATGCAGAAGCATCAGCAGGAGGAAGAGCAGGAGAAGGAGAGGTATCTAAGGTCCATACACTAACATACGCACCAGTCCAGCAGCGGCCATAACAGCAACCCCATGTGATCCTCCTTCACAGCCTTAGACGGACCCGTCAGGAGTATAGAGCCGACCTGCTCTCCCAGATGCAGCACCAGCGGCAGATCCGCCAGTCGCAGCAGGCTGAGCGGGAATGTGAGAGCCAGCAGCGGCTGGCCTTCCAGGAGCAGCGCCAGAGCAGACTGCAGGAGATTCTGACTCGACCCACTTCCCACCCGCGGCCGATCCACCCTTTCAGAAGGATGGCGGGGCCGCTTCCAGCTGCGGGGAACGAGCCAGCCTGCACCGAGCTTTGAGCTGTTTCACGCACGCATGCATCCTTATTATTACTGCAATACTTTGTCATTAAATATAATACACAGGTCATTATAAAGTATGAATAATTAACTGGTTTGATGTGTATTTTATGAAATGCTATTTAAATATTCATATAGAGCCCTTGACTTTCTGGTCACCAGGGGGCAGTAGTCGCTCAACTTTGGCTTATGTCATTGTTGAGAGGCACTCTGGCCTTTCTTTTAAGGCCAAAGTCCTGCAGGTTTTATGGAATGAGATTTACATAGCAGCCACCTAACAGCTGAAAACAGAGATGATACGGCCGTCCAAAAATATCAAACATTAATATGGCGTCTGGTGTTGGCGACTGCCCAGGGTTCCCACCTGCGCCCCTTGTTCCCGGGATAGGCTCCGGTCCCCCCGTGACCTCAGTTGGGATTCAGTGGTTACGGTGATGGATGGAATAAGGCATCTGAGGCTGACTAAAAGCTCGCTAGCAGGCCCTCCATCTTTAGGGGGACGACTGGGGAAGTTGGCCTGGGCAGGAGAGGGCGCAGATGGGAAGGGTTGTGTGTCATGGGGGTCCGGTTGAAGAAATTTTGTCCTGGGCCCAGGACTTATGTGTGGTGGGTCCGCCCACAAGAGTCACTACTGGGGTCCCCCATGTCCCCAGATGTAACCTAAAGGGAGGGTGTTAGGAGGAGAATGGTAGAACCTCTCAGTGAGAGATCTGTGTGCTCAATCAGCTGATCAATAAGTCAGTTACTCAATACAAATTTTATTATCCATCATGGACAATTCACAGTCATTCACAAGATACTGTAATAAACATTAGTGGACAACCAACAACTCTGCTACACAGCACACTGAGGCAGCTGAGTTACAGCACAAATATATGCTTGAATTTTATAAGCAATCTGCTCTTAACTTTGACCAGCAACGTAGGCCTAGTGACCAGCTTTGGTGAAGATTGGGTGATCTCGGGAAGAAAACCAACCAATAACAACTCTGGTAAGCCACCCACAAGGCAGCTGATTGGCTGCTCAGAAACACCCAAATGCACTAAAAAAAAACAGGAGCCTAGAGACGGCAGTGACCCATCATAGTATTACGCAACCCAATAAGACAGGTGTGGTGCATCTTGTCAGATCTGAGAACTGGACCGACCTGATCCAGGCAGCGTCTGTCGTATTGTGCCGAGAGGCGTGTCTTTCAGGTACTTCTCCCTCTGACAGCATTGTGGCATGGGCCTGTAAATGCTATGTAGGTGGGACGCCGCAGGCCTGCCTACGGGTGACTCTGCTCAACATTACCCCTTTAATGGATAAATCAGTAGGTCACTTCTGTGAGCTCTCACTATATCCTGGTGTG